GACTCGCCTGACAGTAAACTAATGGGATGTTAGAGTTGGTTCCCAGACAGTTCGTGATGGGGTAGCAGCGCATGCTTCAATTTGTCAGGGGAGTGGCTCTACGAATGCTATGGAGACAGATTGTAGGGAGCATGTAGTCGCAAAGCTGGATTGTTGAGTTGCTTTCGATGTTAATGCTCATAGTGCACCTAATATGGGTTTTGAGGGGCTAAAGAACATGGAAACTGTTGCTTTTGATGTTAATGCTTATAGTACGGCTAATTTGTGTTTGGATGGGCAGCATGGGCTAAAGAACATAGAAAGTGATGTGGTTAGTGAGATTATGGGTTTAATCAAAGAGCCAAATATTTTTCTAATTAAAGACCAGATTAAAGACTAAATATCCTTAATATTTGGTTAAATTATATGTTATATATTATACAATATTAAAATTTATAAATTAGTCTCTAAAATTACACCTAAATTCATTATGGTCCAAAATTTAATAGATATTTAGCTGGGCGGGCGGATGTGGGGCGGATGCGGGGCAGGTAATGTCTCAAACCCATTACCCGCCCACCACCCACGATGGGTACCACTTTATAAATCCACACCCGCTCACTACCCACTAAAATTATACCCATCTCCGCTCCAATTGGAGCGGATGCGGTGCGGAATCCACGAAACTGTACCCGTTTGCCATCCCTAGCTCCAAGGCACATCATTTACAACATAGCTCAAGGAAAGAGGGTTATTTACCAACAAAAGACCTTCGAGTTCGACTACGCTCAACTCCAAGGCACATTATTTGCAGCATAACTTAAGTCGAGAAGGGTTATTTGCCGAAGACCCTCGAGTTTGATTACACTCAGCTTCGAGGGCACATCATTTACAGCATAACTCAAGGCTAGAAGGGTTATCTGTAACCAAAAGACCTTCGAGTTCGACTACGCTCAGCTCTAAGGCATATCATTTGCAGCATAACTTAAGTCGAGAAGGGTTATCTGCCAACCAAAGATCTTCGAGTTCGACTACGCTCAGCTCCAAGGCATATCATTTGCAGCATAGCTTAAGTTGAGAAGGGCTATCTGCCAAAGACCCTTGAGTTTCATTACACTCAGCTTTGAGGGCACATCATTTACAGCATAACTCAAGGCTAGAAGGGTTATCTGTCTCCAAAAGACCTTCGAGTTAGACTACGCTCAGCTCCAAGGCATATCATTTGCAGCATAGCTTAAGTCGAGAAGGGCTATCTGCCAAAGACCCTCGAGTTCGATTACACTCAGCTTCTAGGGCACATCATTTACAACATAACTCAAGGCTAGAAGAGTTATCTATCACCAAAAGACCTTCGAGTTCGACTACGCTCAGCTCCAAGGCACATCATTTGCAGCATAGCTTAAGTCGAGAAGGGTTATCTGCTAAAGACCCTCGAGTTCGATTACATTCAGCTTCGAGTGCACATCATTTACAGTATAACTCAAGGCTAGAAGGGTTATCTGTCACAAAAAGGCCTTCGAGTTTGACTACGCTCAGCTCTAAGGCATATAATTTGCAGCATAACTTAAGTCGATAAGGGTTATCTGCCAACCAAATACCCTTGAGTTTGACTACGCTCAGCTTCGAGGGCACATCATTTACGGTATAGCTCAAGGCTAGAAAGGATATCTACCAAAGACCTTCGAGTTCGACTACGCTCAGCTCCAAGGCAAATCATTTACAGCATAGCCTAAGGCAAGAAAGGCTATTTGTAAATAAAATTGTCAAGTTCAATTCCACTCAGCTCGATGACACGTCAATCGAACTACTGTCTGGTCGCAATCGAGGTTTTCAAGTCAAGAAGAATACATGGGTTAATTGTGCCTTAGTGACAAAAAAAACCGCCATCTGTCGACGAGGACCTTTCGAGTTCGATTTCATTAAGCTCAAAGGCCTATCAACTATACGTTGGAGTCAAGGAACTACTTTCCAGTCGAATTTTTAACCAAGGTCTTTAAACCGAGAAGAAGACCAAGGTTGACTACAATTGGGCAACAAGAAGCCGCATTCCGATTCAAATTTTGAATTACAGTTTCAATTCCATATCATTTCAAGATGGACTCAACTTCGCGACAGAGGAGCCATTCGCAACTCAATTCGACAGGGAGTTATTCTTCAACTCCACTGAACGAAAATTTGTATCTTTTTATCTTTGTCCTATTTTTCGTTCCACGAAAAAGGACAAACGAAAAATAGGACAAAGAGGGGCAGCTGTAGACACTCATTTTCGTCCCTTTTATATATATATATACATATATAAATACAGTATATAGTTTGAAAATATTTTTAAAATACATATATATAATATATAGTTTTGAAAAACATGTTTGAAAACATTTATATATTATATAGTTTTTAAAATATTTTGAAAATTAATATAATATAGTTTTAAAACATTTTTGAAAAAATATATATACAGTTTTTAAAACATTTTGAAAATATATATATATAGTTTTTTTAAACATTTTAAAAATAAATATAATATATAGTTTTTAAAATATTTTTGAAAATATATATATTATATAGTTTTTAAAACATTTTGAAAATAAATATAATATATAGTTTTTAAAACATTTGAAAAACATATATATATTATATAATTTTTAAAACGTTTTGAAATATATATATAATATATAAGTTTTTAAAACAATTTTTGAAAATATAAATTATATAGTTTTGAAAATTATTTTTTAAACATATATATTATATAGTTTTATTAATTAGTATATTATTATTTTATTTATTTGTTTTATTAATTAATTTTTTTTCTGAAAATTTTTTCCAGGTCCAAAATAGGGTCCAAAGGGAGTCCGAAAATTAGGCTTAACCCAGCCCGTAACCAACAACCAAAGACTAGGGTTTCTACAGTTTCAACAGCGCCGCAAAGTCAGGGAGCCAAACGATCAACAATGCCAACGACCGGCCGATAATCCCGAGACTGACCCATCTATGGACGACCGGCCTCACAACGGCCACGATTCCCTTCATCTCGAGGCTAAATAACAACCACACCGAGGCTATAAAAGCCCCCGGTGAGAACACTGTAGGGGGAACCATACCGAGGTACCACCACACCGATCACCAGAAACGGAGAGAACCACACAGAAATCACATAGACAAAAGAACCATCGACCAACAGCAAAGATCAAGCCACAGTGAATATTAACCCCACAAAAAAACAACATATAGCCACGAACACACAACAAATACAGTCAAAGAACAAAAAATCCAAACACAAGAAAACCAACAGATCTTTCGAAACCGACAAAAGCAAAAGCAGAGCAAAGAAAAATCATAGAAGCACGTATCGAAGAGGCCACCGGAAAAGTGAGGGGCCACCGGAAAGGTAAAACTCGAAAGGGTTTTCGTGAGATCTACACTTCTTGGGGCAATTTTTTGTAATTTTGGCTTCGAAATCAGGTTTGAGGTGTAAAGGGGAGTGTTTGGTTAAATTTTGGGTCCTCTCAGCCGCCGATGGTGGCGGCCGAAGCGGCATGAGACCACAGTGCGATTGCCGAAAATCGCCTGTGGAGAGAGAAGAGAGAATTTTGTTTTCTCTCTCATATGAGGAGAGAGAGGGCGACTTGAACAAATGAGAGATGGGAGGGGTTCTGGGCCGATTTAGGTAAATATATATCCTCCCCGAAACTACGTCGTTTTGGGGAGGGATCTTCCCGTAATTTCGTGCATGGAAAAACCTTTACCTAGTCCCTGTAAGTTGTATACTTTTCATGTTGGTCACTAAATTTAATTTTCAGCATTGCAATTTGGAATCCGAATTTAATATGTTTTTATTTTGGCCTCTAATTTATGCTTCATTCGAAAATGGCCCCGAAATGTCTTGCATGTTTTAATTTAGTCACTACTTGTTTTTCCTTTTTCTGATTTAACGACGGTTATTTCAAATTTTACATTTTGATCCCTTTTTTATTTTTATTAATTTTTCAGTTTCTTTATTTATAATTTTCTTAACATTTTCCATTTTTTGAAAATATTTAACCTCTTTTATTTTTTTAATAATTTTATTTTATTTTATTTTATTTTATTTATATTCTTATTCTTTTTACTAAATTTTATTTTCTATTTTATTAATTATATTTTTTCGATTTTTATTTATTCCTTTGACGTATTATTTTATGTTTTTTCTTTTTTAATTTTTTTTTCTTTTTCTCTTTAATTTATTTAATATTCATTTTTTCTCCTTGATTTATTATATATTAATTTTTCTTTTCTCTTTTATTTAATATATCTTCTTCTTTATTTCTAACATTTTTAGAAGAATTTCCAACCAATTAAAGGTAAGCAATTCGAATCAAAATTTTAAATTTAAATTTAAATTCTTAATTTTCACAATTAAAGACAACCGACAAATTAATTAGTATCGAAAGGGCGATTTAAGGGTGCTAATCCTTCCTTGACCGTAACCGACTCCCGAACCCGAGATGTTTCTGGTACAACACAAATCAGGTAAGATGGTATCCGACCCACCTAAATTTGGTTTAAAGTGGTCGGTGGTTACTCCAATCCGTTTAATCCAAGTCGAAGCCCAATTCCGGGGTCTAACCGAAAGACGGTTCCGACAAATTGATAATTTAAATTATTAATAAAAAAACTTACATTGATATTTTTACTAACATGAAATGTTTAAACCCGACATGTTTCTGGTACAACACAAATCAGGTAAGATGGTATCCGACCCACCTAAATTAATATTAATAAAAAACTTACATTGATATTTTTACTAACATGAAATGTTTAATAGATTAGAGTCGATCAAGCTTGTTTACCTAGTAAAAGATAAACTTGGTTCTCATTAGTTCGGATTAAGATTTTTCAATGCTAATTAAAAATAAAAATACCTACTCAAACTCCCAAGTTACTACAATCATCGGTTTCCGATCAATCAACCGATTCGATATTTTCGACACCGGTACGGGGGAATGGTTGTAACCCCACATTCAAAAGGATATGGGTGCAGTTGATAAAAGAGAAAAGGTAGCATTTCTAAGATGGAAATGTCCTTCAAATTTAACTAATATTAGGCATCACCCACTCTATTTCTGCCCTTAATTTGCCATCCAAAGGCAAAGGGTCACCATTACCAAACAAGGGTCTTTGCCTCTTCTTCAAGCAGCTTTCGACGGAGCAGTCGCCGAGTCGGGCCGGCGTATTGGAAGTAGTAGCTTTGTTCTCTAAAACCGCAGCCAGTTCGGGTAAGGAAGGCAATTTTATGTTATCGGGAGGGACCATCCCTTGATAATCGTTGGAAACCTTGATCGCCAGTTCAGAGAGCTCTTCTCTGGCAGCTTCAAGACTGGCGGAAGCAGCAGCCTGATCGTTCAGAGATTTACAGGCTTTCTCGAGTACTGACTGTAGATATTTTCTTTGAGCTTCAATCCGAAGTTGAAGACGACGTTGTACCTGCAAAGTGAAACCACAAGAATACGGAGAAATCATACATTACAAAAAAATTCCCAGACAGGAAACAGTCAACAATATACATGTCGATGATTAACCGTACAACGAACTACTGAGAAAATGCAACTGTAACCGACCTCTAACTGTTCATGTAGTCTTCGTTGCACTTCCATTTGTACTCTAAGAGCTTCCGTAATCTGGTAACCACTGTGCGGAAGATGAATTTCGGCATTAATCAAAAGCCGGAGAAAGTAATGAGATCGTGAAATGAGAGAAGAAATTACATACTCATTCAACTCTTGAGCTATCATTTTCGACAATATTGTCGATGAACTGGTGTCCTGACTTTCTGCAACACAAGAAGCTGAAACACCGATAAATCATCTGGTTATCAGTTAACTAAGAACACGATAACTACTATATCGGCATCTATTAGTTAACAACAGAATCCTCAGGACCTCCACCAAGAACCGTACGTAAGACATAAATGTGGCAGAAAGGAAAAACAATTGAGAAGAGGTTAAATGCAAAGTAAGATAGAAAAAAATTGGTAATTTGGTGCTCGACCATGACTCGTAAGTGCGTCAAAGGCATGAACTCTGAAGTAAATCATAATTTAAAGAGACAAAGAAGCTTACCATCCTTAGAATTATCGGTTGATTCCTTGCAAGATTGCTTCCCCAGCCGGTATTTCTGCAAGTAAATGGCATGTTAAGTCCATTCCTTCGAACACAAACGCATGCATATGTTAATGATGCATGGTAAAAACGCATTAAGGTTGTTAATTCTGGTCTATGTTGTTCCGACTCTTCATTATTCTTGAAATACCTGTTCCCGAACATATTTGGGCATATACGTATTAGGATATGATCCAAGGACCCTCCAAACACATAGGGAAAAACTTGGAAAGTTTGAACATACTCGTATGCGACATTCACACCAGTCCAAGTGACTTTGATTCTGGTAAATCTTGTTGCAACCTAATATCATTTTCGACTTACAAAGAGAAAGGCTTAAGACATGACAGCATGGAAAAACTTAGGTTAACAATCAATAAAGACATGACAACGATTACAAACCTGAAGATGTGATTTCACGTGATAGAGGGTAAGGGCTTTTACTCCCATTGTTCTCATGATAGTCTTCGGAGTTGCTTCTGCAATGCATATCAAAACAAAACAAGTGAGAAACATACAGGGGGCACGTAAATTCGAATATTACCAGAGAATTGTATAACCAGAAAGCAGTATTAGAAGATTAAAATGAAACAAAGAGCTCGATGACTGAGCTAAGTCAATGTCTATTCATTTATGCAATACATATGTTATGCATATGAAGGAAGTCCCTTCCGATCAAATCGTAAACTAAGATTAAAAGAATATAGGATTGGCTGATATCTTCTCAAGAGAAATGAGATAAAATTCCTAGATGCCACGATCGATTTTCAACTGATGTTTGACAGCATCAATAATCGAACATGGCCAGAGGTAGTACTAAACTGCGGCTGCAACGTAGCAAAACGTCAACATCGAAACACTTTTCAAGGTCACCATGACACCATCACCGGCTCAGGGCATCTGCAATTTAAAAACTTAGTTATATTTAGGAAAGAAGTCATGTCTTAACGTCCACAACATCCATAATAACGACACCGCAGCCTTTAGTACTATCGGTCAGAGACCAAATCTCATCACTCTTATATAGCATAATCTTAAGAACTAAAGCAAAAATTCAAGAAAAGGCGATCCACATTTTAAGAACTAAAAGCATTAGTGTGTGAAAAATCGACCCAGCATTCAAAAATTCACTAAAAAACACTTCGAAAACTTCAATTAACATCAAAACAATTCATTATTATCCAATCAAAACAAGCTCAGTATTTAGATAACCCAGAAAAGAAAAACTCACTGTCAGGGCCACCGAGTTGAACAACGGCATCGACGAAGCGTTCATGGAGCTCAGCCGTCCATCGGAGTCGGGGCTTCGGATCCTTTGTTAGGACCAAACAAGCATCGCCGGGCAAGTTGGTGGCATCAAACGACCCTTGATAATCTCCCACACTTCCATCCAACGGTAACGACCGAACACCAGAGTTCATTTTCTTCTCAAACTGCTTCTCTTTTTTCCCAGGAAAGTGATGGAAAATGCAAGGCCGACGATCAATAGGGGGCAAATGAAAGTTGGGTTTTCTTCGCTTTTCGGGTCGGGGCACGGAGCCCGAAATTTGAGACAGAGATTATAAAAGCCAAGTGAGTGAATTTAGAAGCATTCCAGAGGTTCAGACAGCGATGTCTTGCGTGTCTCTGTCTTTCACTTTCCAACTCTCTGTGTTTGGGTAAACGATAAATCTGGTTCCTAAACTTTTAGAAAACTTACATTATGGTCATTAAATGTTTAAAACTTATATTAAAATCATTACACTTTTAATTCACTTTCATTACTATCACTAGATTAAACTTGATGGATACTTTCTTTAGTTACAAGAGAAAAGTAAAACGGAAGCGGAACGTAATTCACTGTGAAGCTTTTAGGGTTTGGAAAGCCCCTGATATTAGGTCCAAGTGAGGGAAAATCTTCGTCGGCAGAGTGAGTCGAAGATCACTAGCTCCTCATCAATATTACATCTTATTTTCAAGAGAATGACCACTCGAACATCCTTCTCATACTCAATGTCTAGGTTATCATTAACCAAGTTTTAGTTGTATTGGTATGATATAAATTCTAGATAAACCATTATTTATAAAAGCTCTTGACATGATTAAAGAGATCGAATTGATTGGATCATTGATTTTCGATTTAATTCGGATTTGAAATCCATGGCCTCGACAGCTCTAAGGAAAGGAGATGAACATGTTTTACAGGTGAAGTGAAGCAGATTTTTTTCCCCAATAATAGAGAGAGTGTGTGTGGGGTTGCATTTGTTGTTGTAATGTGTGTGGTGTGTTGGACAATGACAACCTTTGTGTTTGATTGCAGTGTACTATGAAATGACATCACAACAAATATTACAACTTTCACTGTTTCGGCTTTCTGCATTTATCGAAGAAGTATAAAGAGCCATAAATTAATTTAAGATTAAAAAATAAAGAATTTAATGTAATTGAAAATGTGATAAAAATCATTATATTTTAAGTTAAATGTAATATAAAATATTATTTTTTAATATTTTAGGTTGAATTGAAAAGTATTAATAAAAAGATAATATTTTAGGTTATTTTAACTTAAAATATTATAATTTTTATCATATTTTTAGTTGCGTCCCAAAATCGTCGTTTTTAACCTTTAATTAGTATGTCACATGGCAATATCATCTGCATTTATCATGAAAATTTTAAAATACAACTTATTAATATAAAGTTAAAAAAAGTATAGAAATCAATTGTACTAAAAAATTATTAAGAGTATCATTTTTTTTAGGTTAAATAGAATAATATTTTTTATTGCAATCATAAATATTATCTTTTCATAATATTTTTAAGGGTAAAGTATAGTAATGGTCACTGAATTTTTTTAAAGCTTTCATTTAGGTCCCTAACTTTTAAAACTTATAATACAATACTACAATATTTATTCCGTTTGCAATATGGTCCACGACGTTACACTGCCGTTAGTACGTTTGCAATATGATCACTGAACTTTTCAAGCGCATGCATTTAGGTCCCCAACTTTTAAAACTTGCAACACAATCCTCAATTTCATTCTAAACCCCAAATTCCTTTTCGATATCAAATTTTCTTTAGAAAATAAATATGAAAATTTTATCTTAAATATATATAACCTACAAAACTTATTATAAGAGAAATAAAAGAGAGAATAAACTTTATAAATTCATATACTAAATAAAAAACCATGAAATTCCTTCCAAATAAAGTCAATAAGTTAATGAATAAAATAACAATTTCATTATGATAATCCCTAATAATTAATTAAGGATTATAGATATTTATACTTAATGCGTACATGTTCATAATTAATTAAGGATTATAAAACTTTAGTATGTACCTATTTGATTTGAAATATGCTACTCTTTGTACTTGTGTAAGTATGATAATCCCTGATAATTAATTAAGGATTATAGATCTTTATACTTAATGTGTACATGTTCATATTTGACTTGCATGTTTATGTATGTGAACCTCATAAAATAGTATAGAATAAATGTATACTATTGAATTTTATAAGCTAAACGTCCAGATTGCTTTTGTGTGCATGTTACAAGTTTCTTTATTCGCGATACGATATCAACATTAATGGAAGAGTCTCGATGAATCATTCGAGTACGATAAATGATTACTTAAGTGGGCATATAAATATTGAAATATTTTAGTTAAGTTTGTAAATTTATTTGTATATTTGTTTTCTTTCAAAAATAAAGGAGCTTCGTTTTTTGTATAAACAATTTTTTAACTTGAATTTTTTACGGATGTTTAACATATTTCATCATATTTCATTCAACGGGTTAGTGTCTGGTTCAAAAGACCATTACTTTTTTTTTAATATAAAGAGACAAGTTTGAACATACGAATAATAATGTGATCATTATGTAAGTTTTAATAGTTGGAGACTTGATAGAACAAAACTCTTAAGACATCATTTTGTAACTTTTAATAGTTGGTGAGACTTTATAAAATAATATCATGTAATTAAATGTCATTTATATATTTTAAGCATTTTTTAATTGACTTGTAAACTAGAAGTATTTTATATAAACAAAAACGATAAAATAAGTAAATGCACCTTGAATAGATCTATCTCCTTTGATTAAAGAACTTTTATAAAGGAAATTTGAAATCGAAAAGGAATTTGGGGTTTAGAATGAAATTAAGAATTGTGTTGCAAGTTTTAAAAGTTGGGGGACCTAAATGCAAGCGCCTGAAAAGTTTAGTGACCATATTGCAAACGTACTAACGACAGTGCAACGTCGGGGACCATATTGCAAACGGAATAAATGTTAGAGGACTGTATTACAATTTTTAAAAGTTGAGGGACCTAAATAAAAGCTTTAGAAAAGCTTAGTGACTGTTACTATATTTTACCCTATTTTTAATTGTAAGCCCTAAACTCCTTGCGGTATAATTTTCGATTGTAATCGAAATGTCATATTCTTCATACCATTTTAAGTTATAAGTTATAATCCCTTGTGATGTAACTTTTCAATTGCAAAAAAATGATATAAATTTATATAACTTTTTAGATTAAAAAAATTTTAGATTAATAATCTCGTTGTGATCCGTGAAAAATAACATATTATATATCAAATTCAAAATTTTATCTAAAAAAAGTGTTTAATTATTTTTATTCAGATTGATAGATTAACATGCAGAATATATAGAGTCAAATAAAGGCAAACTCCTTTGATTATTTCTTTTTTTTCTAGTGGCTGAAAAGTTGTAACTTGTAAGAAACAAATATCTCTCACTAACTCCACCCCTTCCTTATAATTTATTCTGAATTTCTAATAGGAGTGGGCCAAAATTATGGATTATATTATAATTAAAATATATATAATATGAAAAATATTAATATATAATCATGTCAATATATGACACGATTTTTTATAATATATATAATATTTTATATAAAAAAGTTAAATCATGATTAGAGTCTTATATGAAAAATAATTTATTTTTCAGAAGTAATCAACCGTAAACAGAATAATTAAGTAGGAAAAATTCGAAACCAACCATAGCTTATTTGGGTAACACTTACAAAATATATACAAATCATTTGTTTCTTTTATTATGATTAATAGTAAAACAATGCATGTAGGGTTGATTAGGTATGCCCAACCTCCACCACCTTTATTGGAAAATTGTCTAAAAACACATTAATGTGGATAGGGACAATTTTTTTTTAATATTTTGAGATGATTGTAGTATAGTATTTAGAATTTTAAAAAAAAATTGACAATATACATATTTTACAGATGTAGATGTTCAAACCCAAAATATCTAAAGAAAACAATATTCCTTGTTAAGATTAAGGACACTTGATAGTAATATATTTTGTACATTAAAAAATTCGTGTTATAATAATAATTGGGTAATTCTAAAAGTTGAGGTTAAAGTGAAAATATCATAGAACTGAAATATAAATGTTCTCTAAAAAGGTCGCTAGTTATAAATTGAACGATCGTTGATCAGTGTTTAAATGAGAAAGAGAATAGACTATCATAAGAAAGGAGAAAGTGGGTTGGCTAGTTTTGAGAGTATCATCCTTTTTTTAGTCTTGATTGAGAGCATTTACGTTGATATTTAGTCTATATGTTAGTCGCAAGATCATCATGATTATTTGTAGTTCTACCAATTAGATAAATTTAGTTGTCAAATTGAATTTCACTCTATTAAGACATATCATGGGTCTTGTCTAAATCTTATCTATCCATAGTAGTTAACTTGAGATCTTGTGTTAAGGAGTGCAAGCTTATTAAAGGCTTTGATAGGAATAGTGATTTGTATGAAAACCGATTGTTGATGAAGTTTTATAGATCTAATATGAGAGGTTTGAAATTTTTGGAAAATGTCTCAGAAGATATAACAAATATTATTTAAAAATATATTATACTAGCATTTAATTTTTAAAATGTCGACGCCACAATCTAAATTTTATAACTCGTTCAAGTGTATATATATACATAAAATTAAGTATTTTCTAAAGATTCTAAAATAGAAAGAGAGAATCAAGTGAAAATACTACAAAGTTGTGTGATATTACAAAAGATTACCGTATAGCTTCAATGAGAGAAACGGAGAAATAATCCATCAGAAAAGAAACCCTAAAAATACCGAGCAGGCATGCTTTGGAACCAGCCGTCAGTGTCGACGAACGACATGCTGGTTAGCTTCGCCACCGTCGGAGCATCCAGCTTCTTCACCCATTTCACCCTCTTGGACGTGTCTGCTCCAGGTCCATAGTTATTGTACTCGGCAAAAGTTAAGTGTTCCCTACACCATGATACCACAAATTTTAATATTACCATGTTTAAGATTCTAATCCCTAGACGTTTCGAGTGGAAGAAATCGAGGCTTACTCTTTGCCGACGTAGTTCCAAGCATCCCAACCACTAGGATGGATGATGTCGGAAAACTTGCAATTATAGAACAAGACCCTGGAAAAATCTCTCCATGGCCTGCCCAAGAACGTCGTCCCTTTGCCGTAGATGTCACAGTTCTTGAAAACGAATCCGTTCGATTCATACGGGTTGTTTCTTCCTTGTGCCGTGATGAAACCGGCAAGCCCCGGCTCCAACATCTCCCCAAGAAAATGTATAGAACAATCCTACAAAAACATAATCAACGGCACTCGTGTTCACATAATTACAAGACCAGGGACGAACGTATGATTTTAAATGGCTGAACACGATAAGATTACCTCATAGATAGATTGGCCGTTACCGAAAATGAAGTCCACAGCACCTTCGATGTGGCATTCCTTGAAGTAATGACGGCCGGTAGCATCCCACAAAGTATCTTGAACACTCGAGAATCCGCATCGGTAGAAGAAACTCTTGTCGCCGTTAACCATGGCGGACACGGCCGGAACCCTACTATTTTTGCTGTTTGGACCGTTGTATGAATTCTATTCATTTTCATACAAGATAAAAGGACATTCAATATTTTTAAAATCCATGGAAAAACAAAGGGAAAAATGAAAGTGATCAACTTACTTACCACGAAACTCATGGACTTGACAATGATATTATCAGCTAAAGAACTAAAAGTTGGGGATTGCAGATAGGGTTCATTCCAGACCACTATGGTTTTTCTTTGGCCGGAACCTTTGAGAATGATGTATGGCTTATCATATGGGATTTTCACCTTCTCCCTACACACATACATACATACACATAAACATACATACAATTTATATGTATTATGAATGTTATATTTACCTGTAAGTACCAGGATGAACATTGATGCAATACCAGAACTCATTGTTTGATGGAACGGAGTTTATAGCCGATTGAATAGTGGAAAAATCTCCATGGCCGGATTGATCAACCGTCACCGTTTTGCATTTTGCTGATATTTGATCCAAACTCAGCAAGAAAGCAATGAGTAGAGTGTAAAAGCAGTGGACCAGTGTCATCTTCTTCAAGCTTTAGTTGGTGTAAAAAAAAATCACTGATTAAAGAGAAGAAGATGAATGGTGAGGAAGAAATTGAAGAAGCGTTGGTAATATATAACGAAAATTTTGAAGGATGAAACTGATGATTGATTGGAGGGAAACTGAAAAGACAAATATAATAAATTAAATTAAATTAATATTTAATAATTTTAATATAATAAATATTAATATTTAATAAATTTGTACTTTGAAAAAAAATCATGTTTTCTGTTTTTTACATTTTTCAAATATAAAATATTAAATAATAGGTTGCATATTTCATAAGGATATGTTAATACTTTCTATTATTAATACATTTTGAGTCATAGAGCAAAATATCCAAAATAATAAAAAAAAATAAGAGAAATAAGTAAACAAGGTTGATGAGGGCAAATTAAATAAGATATTTTATATTAGTTTTAATTTTATGTTTAATCAATCATGGAGAATCTTGTGTACGTATGCAACCCAATTTACAAGGAAAAAAAATTAATAATATTTTATTCCCCATTTTTTTAAATCAAAAATAAAATAAAATTTTGAGTTAATTGTGTTACAATTCTCCCAACTATAACTTATTTTCTATATTAGTTCCTAAACTTTTGTGTATTCTAATTTCATCTCCAAAATCACGACTTTTATTTTGAATGTTCCAATTTCATCCCTAAACTTTTGAATGATTCTGGGGAATGTTATTGGAAGTTTAAAAGTTTGGGGACCAATTTAGAATGAGATTCATTTTTAGGGATGTATTTAAAATGTTAAAAAGATTGGGATGACTTTAAAATGAGGGTCATAGTTTGTGGATGAAATTAGAATATTAAAAAATAGCTATCACTTTAAAATGATAGTTATAGTTTAGGGATATGTTATACAATTAACTCAGAAAAATATGAACATTATATATTGTTGAGTGTATTTGACCTTTTAAAAAATTCGAATCAAACGACCTTAGTGGTTAAAAGACTGATTGGTATCCCTAGAGATCATGAGTTTGAATTGACGCTTGTAAAGTTGTTTGAGCGTTTATTTTTAAATGGTTAAGAATCTCCTATAAAATTATTTGGAAAAAAATAGTGTATTTGACGATTTATAATTTTATATTTTTTATACTATTTTTATCTCATATGTTACGATTTCACCTACCATCAATAACTATTATCTCAATTTTTCTCAACTACTATAACTAAATAAATGAATAAAGTCCAACTTTTTGGACCCAACAATTTCTATCTGCCCTTTATTTTATTTATTTTATCTTTTTTTTTTCTCAACATATTTGATCTCACGTGGTGCTATAAGTTTACGTTAGTTCACCATAACCTACATATGATTCTAGGGTTTTCTCTTATTAAAATTGACTTCCTATTCAAGTAGGTTTTTTTAATTATTTTAAGTTCGAAATTCTCTATTTTTAATATATTTGTTATTTTGTTAGATAATTTATGTTATTAGATTATCATTATTATAACTGTATAATAATTATTTTTAAAAAAATAATTGTATCAGGCATCTTTAATATAATGCCCAAGTTTCAAATTTAATCTTTAAAAAATGAATGATGAAAAATTAAAAGGATTAAAAAAACTAAAATGTTGGAAAATACATTTTTCTGATAGTAAAATTTTAAAAAATTAAAAAAATATATAAAAATTAATTTTCTGTAAATTGATACCTATCACTATATATATACAGAAATATTTTTAAAACCCCATCCACTTTGAATCGAAGAAATATTTTTAAATTAAATTTATTTTTATATTTTAGTTGCTAGTAATATTTTTTATTTTTCTTATGATTTTCTAAGGCTAGTAATACAAGATTCCTTTTATCAGGGGGAAAAAACCATCTCTATTTTAAGAGACGCTAAATTAATTAATTGTTATCATTTTAACATGTTAACGATTAATGAAAATTGTCATGTCAATCCCTAGATATTGTTATCTGTAATCAAGGCATTTTTTATTTAAAAACTTATTTGATCGTAAATTCTCAAATAAAGGCCAATTTGATATATATAATTTTTATACAAATATTTGACACACTTTCAAAAAAAAATTTAAAAATATGATACTTTAAATGATAAAAAAAAATTGTATTATTTATTTCAATTTTACAATTCATATTTAGAATTTTTGATTATTTATTCCAACAACACTATTTCTAATATTGAATATGTGTTCTTTTGATTCTTAAGAATATAGTTTAAATCAAACGACCTCAATAATTGAGAAATTTATTATTATTTCGAGCATTGCCTATGCTAAAAATAAAAACGTTTATTATTAAAAGGTTGAAAATCTTTGAACAGGTACTAATTATATTCGGCCCATATCTATCCAAATAAAAAAGGGTAAACCAGCCATTTCACACCCCCACTTTTTTAAACTTAATCACCAATTTACTTGTACATCAATAAATTTCATAAAAAGATTTGCAAATATTTTTCAGTTTTATAATTTTTAATTGAAGGACCGATTTACAAATTTTTTAAAATTAATTAAGGTCCAAGGAAAATCCTCACCAATTTTTCATTCGATTTATTTGAGTTGTAAAGTTCAACTAAAAAATAACCCAATTCAAAATGTTAGATAACTCAATCAACGAAATAAAAAAGATCAAACCCTAAAAACATTAAACATTCAAAAAGGAACTAGAAACCAGGAAGTATCTCTCAAGCAAAGATGAAAAAAAATAAAAACTCCGAGTAACATACGATGGTATATAGCATAACATCTACTTGAAACGATTACGGTAATAAAATTATGAGCGATCGAGCTGCTGGAAAGGCGATGTATCGAAATGCATCAAACTTAACCCGAACATATCAACTGCCCTCGAATCAGTATTTGATAGGAGCAATGACTTCCAACTGGGCACCAAGTTTCTCCTCAGCAACCTTCTCAGCTTTAACCCTAAGTTTTGTAAGTTGCTTCCTTCTCTCGTATGCCACTTGAGCTCTCTCCTTCCTCTTCTTCTCGAGTTCCTGGAAAAATCGTGCAGCCCAAAGTTAAAAGCTGTTGTAAACTTGAAGTGTAAAGGTGTATATAGTTGTATATATTACCCAAAAAAAAGGTGGAAAACAGTTCAAAATTGCATAACAAACAGGAATTCAAAGGAATATCGACACACACATCTGTCACATACGTGTGTTGAGCCAAACATTTCTTACCAGAGCACAAAACAATACTCTAGAGAGTACAAAACATGTAAAATGATGCCACTTTGTCCTCGATGAAAGATTTTATTTTCATAATAACATTTACGGAGTTTTATTAGGCACTAAAACTATATTGTTCTACACAGAGACCACAGTAAATATTGTGACCAAGTTAATCCACAGATTAAAGTGTTCAGCAAGTAAGCTCTTAACTTATAGTGATGCAAGTACTCATAAATTTTAAACAAAAAACGAGCGAGGCATTGAAATAAATAATGCATATATCCACACACATATAAACAATTCCGAAGAGTCGAGTGAAGAGCATCAAAACACAGGTCGTATTCGAAAACTTGAAAAGGGTAGCCGATTTTCACCTTGATAGTGTCATAGTGGTTCCATCCGACCTCGGATGAGAGCTTGCCCAACAAGCAGTACTTGTGCCCTTTCTGAAGCCTCAAAACCCTAATTTAAACCCAAAAGAACAAAATAAAAAACATTAACTAGCCATTGAAGCAACAAAATCCAAATTCCACCAAAACAATAAAGTTGCAAACCGTTTCGAAACTCACTTGAGGGCATCTGGAATAACCATCCGCTTCGTCTTATCATAAGGAGCTGGAACCCCCTCATACACCTTCAATCGATCAAGA